TTAATAAATGAATGATAACTTACGTAATTAGGTACTTATTGACAAATACGTGTCGAAGTGCAACATTGTAATACTCATATGTGTTGCAGTCACGATGTTCGCAACGTGACAAGCCAACGCTGCGGCATATAAATCGTATAATTACATAATAATTATGTTACAAAAGATTCTATGAGCGGGGCCGATGTAAAACTCCAATTTATTTTAGTTTATGAAGGAACAAAAACAGTACATAAAGAAAAAAAAAATAATTCGTTGCTACCAAAAAAAGACAAATATAAAAATAATTAAAACGCACAATTAGTATAATAGTCTCTTATGTTACCTCCAAGATACTTTTATTGTTATCTTATAAAAAAATAGGTTCTTGAAGCCGATTACATAGTAAAGTGTTATTAATAGAGGCGTATTACAAAATCTTGGAACTTATTTATAATTTATAAGTAAAAATGTGTATTGTAAGAAAAATTAAATAATACTTGACCCCTGATAGTAGACTACGGCTTGGCTGTGCTACTTACCACTAGGTGGTCCGTACTCTTGCCTTACTATAAAGACAACAAAAAAAAATCGCGCAGATTAACGCTGTCAATGCAAAGGCTACTATCACATCTCTGCGATAACTGCTATACCTAGCTTAAAACAGAATATAGGCATTCGGAAAAGATTGCACAAAGCTATTAATTTAAACTATAATCTGAATGATTAAATTCAACGTTGATTTTTTTTTATAATCTCAAACATTACTTAAAACTGTTGCTCACGCACCAACCAGGTCGATAAAACTATTTTGCCTAAAATAGGAACGAAGATTGCACTTTCTCTATTTATCTGAAACAATTTGTTCCTCATACTAAAGTAACTACGACAGGGTCAGAATCTTACATGATAATAATCTTTTAGGCCATTACATAATAAGAACAACAAACAAATAAGAGAGAGAGAGAGAGAGAGAGAGAGAGAGAGAGAGAAATTGGTAGAGTTATGCGATCCCGGTCACCTCGAGTTGCCACTACTTCTCCCTCTTCTGTCCCTCCTATTAGTTAATAGACTCAAACTTTAGAGACTTATTAGAGAATCATTACAATGGGTTGCACTGACTCCACTATGAGGATAAGAAGCATAAATAAGGTCAAGCGATTTTTTATTGATCTACCGACGGACAATCACGGCCTACCTGGTGCTAAATGATATCTAGAACCAATAGGCAATCACAACTTTATTGCCACCACATATCATAAGACATCAAAGCCAACTCTCTATTTTGCTATTTAACGGCTGCCCTTCAAACTGTATAACTTCTTTACGACAGAGATAGATAGGCAGGATCGTGATATCTACCATTGTGCTCCCGGAATAGACCATTAAGAGTACCTACTGTTATTAGTGTTTGACAATCAGACAAATTTATAAATTGAAGTACATAATTACCACCACTTTTACGATTCAGACATGCATTTTTTTTTGGTTATTTTATTATTTACATTTCGAATAATTTAGTTTCCGTGATCACCGATGACCGAATTGTGGCTTTCATTTTGATTAAACCATGTCATTAACGAAGATGTTGAACGTTTACTTTTAAAAATTAGTACAAGCCCAAAGATTAGAACCATTACCATATTCGATCAACTTGTAACTAGTAAGCTTGGCGTCGCATAGGCTTTAGGTTTGTTCATTGGGATTTAGAAATAAAGCATAAAATTCTTTCAAATTTTATTACACCAATTTTTATCAATGATACACGCAATTCTGTTACACAAATTACAGAAAACACCTTAATCACTTATATACATTGATTGACATTCGAAATCATTACTAGGTATAATAATATATTATTACTGATAGTTTATTGACATCATTGGATTCTTTATAAACTTGAGGTCTCGTGCATCTATTATAAATTTATGTCACAACCCTTCGTTTTCCCAAAATTGTCAAATATCAACACGTTCGGTGGCAAAATAAATGTAAAGTATAATAATATTGGACAGAACCTATGTATAAACGTTATTTTATAGTTTACCTTTGTCATACTAGGTACGTACTCCAAAGCAGTCTTCATGCTGCCACAATTCAAGACGTTACAAATACGCAGTGCATATTTATAAACATTTTTATAAACGAATGCTGGTTTCATTACTTGCAAAGTTTTGAATTACATATTTACAAACAGCAGGACTGAAACTCTTCGATCTAGACTTATCAACCGCAGCATTACTTTTACATCAATCATAGGTTCAAAAATACAGAAACAACATTAAAGCTACAATAAAAATAGGAGTTTATTAAATATGTATAATGTCAGGTCTTGTCAGAGTTTGGTGTGCCTGATAGATATATAAAATAACTTTTTGGAAGGTTCAATATTTACATTCCTCAATATCATAAACATAATACGAAAATACGTTTTGACACCGTTCATGTTTGTTTAAAGTATTTTATATTATTCGATGCATACAGTGTATTCCTTATAATGCTTTAAGAATCAAAATTATACTCTATAGAATAATTTCAATCATGCACGAAGTTCTCATGAGAAAAATATTGTAAATCAGTAAACCATAAATTTTATTATTAAGCTTTATATATCAAGTAGGTGGTCACTGATAGCTTAAATATCTTTTTAATTTCATTATGTACCTACACACAGAGAACGTTAGACATATTAAGAAAATAATTATTTAAAATGTTTATTTTGTACCACAGTTTTACAACCATAAATATCAAAGAAATATTGGAACTGAACAACATTTGTGGATGAATATATAAACAGTTTTTTGCATTCGTTCTACAACCTTATATTGTTATTCCACATTTCGCATAATACCACGAAATTATACAAAAAAAAACGGCTAGGTGAGAGCAAATAAACGCATGAGGAGTTCCGTAGCAAGATTAAAATTACACACTCCTCAAAAACTATTCATAGTTGTGAATAAAATATTTAAAGGTCTAATCTGTTATTCGGCAATTTTTACTGCTACAAAAACTTTGGGAGGAACAGATATCAATGGCGAATCCTCAAAAACTTGTTATTTAAATATCTCTATTAGAGGGTTCGCCACTTATTATATATAGACTTTTTTTTCAAAATCCAGTCACATGATTAGTTAATATTTTAAAAATTGAAAACGTACGAAATTGGCTTGGAATTATATAAGTTTAAATATCTTCCTCACGAGGACAGCGATGTGGACCACTATCTCAGAGGTTTTAACGCACCTTAAACGACGTGACAAGATGTCAGTACCATAGCTCGAGATCGTAAATCACAACAATGTTAAAAGTAAAATAATTATGATTTCTAGCCAATTTTTCTCTATGCGTATGCAGAATGAAATAGATGGTACGAATTCGAAATTCACACATAAGAACCTTATGAACACTTTCGGCATTTCACTGCAGAACCCAAAAAAGAGCGAACCCTTTCTCCCTAAAATATTTTACTTCGTTTTGGCCTTGAATAAGATTGTTAACCTCTACTGTCGTAAAAGAGGGGAACGCTATGTTAAACTCAAGTTTAAGCGGTATATAACGTCTGCGTCGTAATTCGATTTTTGAATTGTTTACTAAATCTTCTGAATATACAATGCGGTCGTCATTTAAATTTATGTGCATGAAACAAAAAAAGGTTTTATTTTTATTCTATTAACTTCCAATTTAATAATCAACTTTCCTATTTCAAATACATAATGCAACTTTGAATTAAAAGACAAACAGTTGTTTCCGTTAAAAATACACTAATCCGTGTCTCCTTGACTGCATGTCATTACCTAATTACTAATTAACTTAAATATGAGGACATAGTTAAAGTCTAATAAAATTTACAAAAATAGCGCCCAAAATCGTTGGGAGTTTAAAAGTATTGTTTTAATTCATCATCATAATATGTATGAGCATTCAGCCACAAGTCGTATTATTAATAAAATTAATTAGATAAAACTATTGATTATTTTTTTAATTCAACCACCTAGTACAATACAAGGTTTCGAAGTATTTCTTTACAGTTGAGCATCTAAATTTTACAAGTGGGTGCTTTTTCTTAAGCCATCGGGGGCAGTTCACTTTAAATTTAGTCCACTTTTAATTAGGTCCTTAAATTGTAATTTAACTTTCCCTAAATACATCTCTTACAGACTAACATCAAACGTTCAGATCGTAAGGAATATATGTTACAATAATAATTTACAAGTTTTACTACAAGAAAAATACACATTGAAAGCTTTCCAAACTTCAATTAGGTGCTGTTCAATTCCAAAGTTCATTAACGGAATATACGTTTTATTTTACAGCTTCAAAGGCTTTCTATGAGTGTTAATTTAGCTTCAAAGCTTTGATGTTGATTTCGGCCACCGTAATAAAAAACTCGAGATTTTAATATCGCATTTGTGTATTACAAAACAGATATCCATTGTGCGTTAGATACTGGTGACAAAATCGAATAAACATACGAATTTTAATTACTTTTTAAAAGTAGGTACTGTCCAAGTTTAAAAAATGTAAACATATGTGTATACCTCTACCATAGGTCCATTATGACACATATTTGAATTAAAGGACTATTTAGATGAAACCCCTGGCGGCATCAGCAATCAAAAATCCTGAAGCTCTTTTTTAATCGGGCAAACCTTTAACCACAACCCTGACAATAATTTATGATATCCATACCGTACTCAATATATACCAACTATGTTTTACCCTGCCAGAAGCACTACTTATCCCCTAAAGGAACAAGTATTGTCAAATTTGTTAATACATATCAAAATTGTATTATTGTTATACCCTGGTATAGTTGACAATACGTACAATTACTAGTAAGCCTAGTGAGTTACAATAAAAAAATGTACTCACAACAGTGTCTGTGCAATACCGCCGTTTCCCGGATTTAATTCGTTTGTAAAAATTTCGAAGATATTTTCTCGACAGAGTTCCTTCATTGCTAATTGTTAAGTTGTAGAACGAGTTAGNATCAAAATTGTATTATTGTTATACCCTGGTATAGTTGACAATACGTACAATTACTAGTAAGCCTAGTGAGTTACAATAAAAAAATGTACTCACAACAGTGTCTGTGCAATACCGCCGTTTCCCGGATTTAATTCGTTTGTAAAAATTTCGAAGATATTTTCTCGACAGAGTTCCTTCATTGCTAATTGTTAAGTTGTAGAACGAGTTACCCTAAGGAAGATAACGGTGTAAAAATATGAAAGGTTTTCCTTATTTAATGAGAAAAAGATTTTTCTTTCCCATCCAAACGAGTGGTTTCCGGAACCCGCTAAATTAACGGGAATAAAAGTCGCCGCCCACGTGACATGAGATCGAAAACGTGTAAAGACAAAAGAAGAATAAAAGACGCATGAATGTAAGATTATTTCAAGTCCCAAATGGACACAACAACGAGGCTCACTATTACATCCTACCAGGAAACGGTAATCAGATATACATAATGGACAAACACATATCAAGGAGACATTTTGTTAAGTGTCTAATCATTTTTTCTACATAGAGCAACATGTGGAAGAGTTGTGATGTTCATAAACTGATTCGTTTTTTGACTTCACACAGTCCATTTTTATGCTAGACAAGGGAAACAATTATTGATATTTATAAGTATTATTCAACTAAGATTAAGGTATATAGAAAAATGTGATCAAGACACTTTTTTGGTAATGAGATTTTTTTTCATATTTCAAGAACAATTCAAAATATTTCAAGAATAAAATAATGAATTTTGAGACCATTATTTTTATGATTCCTATCGCTATACATTGGCATTTATTTATTTAATTTGGCACAAGAACATACATAATATGTAACAAAATTCCAGTAGTTTAAGTTAATGTAATCTACATACATCTTTTTTTCATCACAATGTGTAACTAATTAGGACTGTTTTAAAGAAGATTTAAATATTAAACTTTCTTTCAGGATGCACATTTAGGCTAATAGTATAACTTGACTCATTATTGCCTTAAAATTGATTTTCACAATTGAATTTTTCATTCAACAACTTATCAATATTCTCAAATTTACATAAAGGGAAATAATAATAGAAGTATGAACTTTTAGGGATACAAGGAAGAGTTATTTATTTTAAAAATAACAGCATCATTTAGGCCGCTTGTACTTGCAGTATGATTGCACTAAAACAAAACATCTTAAGTTGTATGTTTACAATAATTATTATAAATAGCCAAAATGTTCCAGAGCGTCATTATGTGTTAAACCAATATCTATTGTATAAAAAAAGTATACTATTTTTCTTTTTTACGAAAATTTGGTCAGCGAACTAAACATAATAGTCAGAGAATGTAAGTCATAAAATACAAAAATAATAATTGAAACCAACTTAATAGTAACACACATTGATTTAAAGTCATTTAAAAGTCAAATATGAAATTTCATTTACTTGTATGACATTTTTCCAGTTACCAATATAAGTATTTCCAAATTAGCTGTAGCTGACTTTCTTGATGAAGTTCTGAGGTAATAGACACAGTACAACCAAATGGGGAACATCATCCTTTTTTTTAACAGGTAAAAAATTTACATACAAATATAGGTTTGACAATGATGGTATATTGGTAATTACATCAGACCCTATATTATAGTTTACTCAGATTTTATTTGTGCTAACATCAAGTATATCAACCAGATATTAATTTTCTCAAAGTATTTTATTTAAAATATTTTTGTATAAATATTGTAATTTCTCAGGTCTAGAGTAATCCAAAGAGATTATTACAAACAATATTGGCGATATACAAGAAACTTGTATACCTGATTAAAAAACATGATTACACACAATATTTTTTACAACTATTTTCTTAACCACTTATGTTTTGTTTAACTTATTGTGTTAACTTATAAATCAGCTACTGATCCATTGCATTGGTCGAATTTATATAGTGTCTACCTAACAGGCTCAAAAATTTAGGAACATAAATCGCAAACTCAACAGATTAACAAGATAATGAAAACTTTTACAATCCACTGTGCCTTTTTAAATACTCATAGCTGTCATCTATATTGTTTTTTTTCCTTTTTCTTGATTCAAAACGTATACCAGTTTCTTGAACCACTTTTTCACTGCTTTTGATAGCAGAAATTATGTTCTCTCTAGAAGGAGGCACCAACTTCAGTTCATCTACATTTTCACTTACGGAAGGTTCCACAAGATGCATTACAATCCGCTCAAGACACTTTGGATGTTCAACTGGAGCATCATCATAAGTCAACACTCTTTCTTGTTGTTGTTTATCCATTCCTACGATAACTGAGTACTTTCGTTTCATTTCTTCCATCATTCTTTTTCCAAACTCCTCACCAATAACAGTATTAACACAGACAAAACTTTGAACTTTTTTAGTTTTTTTATCAATTTCAAGATATCCTTTAGTTCTCATATATATGAAGTGACCAGAACGAGATATTAACCTGTAATATGATTCCCCAAACTCTCGACTCTGATCATACATTTGACGAAGTACACAGATGACCCAACGCACATCTTCTTTGTGCATAAAAACAAAAGCTGAAGTACCTGTTACTTCATCAGTCATGTAACCAGCTGCCAATGATATGCTTTGATCACATTGTACTATCCGGCCATCTATCAAATGTCTCGTCCAATATTCAGAATAAGCTGTTGGTGGCAAGATTCGAGCTGGCAAGTTGCTAGAAAGCACACGTATCATACCAATAAAAACATAGTCATTTCCACTGGAGGAAAATGTGCGATTATTCCGTACTCTTTGCCTTCTAACTACATGCTCATCTTGAACTTCATTCCCAGTAGCTCGATCAGACTTTCTTAACATACCACTAATACGACATTTTTCATATCTGGGATGATCAGACCTTGCTCCTGCTCTCATCAGACGAATATGAAAGTTATGGTGATGTTCAAAAAGTTGATCATCACAGCCTGTTTGAAGTTCAGGTGGGTAAATGTGACAACGTAGGGTTTCTCTGTCTTCCTCATGAACATATTTGTAAAAATCCTGGCCTACTAAATCTATATGGCAATAACCTAATTTTTCTTGGATATTTGGTGAAACTATAAAAATGCGACCCCGACAAGTGACAGCAAACATGATACCTCCTATGAGATCAAAAAACTTTAAAAATGCAGGGGACCATGTTTCTAGATGGCAGCATTTAATGGTATCGCCAAAGACGTGTTCGTTACGGAGTTTGTTGACGGCGTGTCTCAAAACACTAGTTTTGTCAACTTTCCGTTGGGAATGCGCAATGTCCGTTAAGAGAGACTTCATTTGATGGATTAATGCATTGTACTGGCTGCGACGAGTTTTTTCTGCAATGATTCGAGAAGCACGATCGCTAGCCTTTGCTGAAGTAGTCTCTGGCGAACGTGAATCTGAAGAAGAGTCTCCGCAGCTTGCAGCTTGTGAATCATAGTAAACGCAATTTGTTGTCACTGCCACGGGCAGAAACTCTGCCGGCTCCCGAGTTACCATCTTAGAGCATTTCTCGTAATTCGATCCTGTCCCAATAGACGAGTTCATGTCGATCGACGATACTACACTACTTCGCTACAAACGTCCTTGTATATCATTCCGAATCAATAAGTACATACATAGCACTCCTTATTAACAAAAGCTGTCATTCAAACATCGATCACTTGTAAACCTTGTCGTCTAATCACATTAACCTTATAATTTAAAACCGAAGAATCACCAATTAACACTTTCCGTCTGGTGTAACACAACAGCTCGAATCAACAACAACAAGTGAACATCCAAAGAGAATAATAATCACTCTACGTTTGATGTAGATACACATCGTGCCTCATCGCAGATGTCAAACTAAATGGTGCAGTCAAAGTCAAAACCTTTTTCTTAATTACAGCTAATAGCTATAATACCTTTTAGCCAGCCTGACTTTAAATCAAAACTCTGAGAAAACAGTTTACACTACATTGTCTTTCTTTTTGTCTTTCATTGAAGGACCCTCCTGTGTATATTAAAAATTCCTAGAAAGTCGAGGAACCTTATGATAACATCGCAAGGTTTCAGGATGCTACACGAACATAATACGCAATTTGGAAAGAAAATTGTTGCGAAAAAACAGGTTCACATAATTAATTCATTGAATTTATAAAAATCGTTGGAGCCGTTTCAGAGATTCAGATTATATATATATACAAGAATTGCTCGTTTAAAGGTATAAGATTAAGAAGGGGAAAAAACATGCGAACGAATCAATCACGAGTTACACAACCCAATGCAAATAATACATTCACTCTATCGAGAAGTCTAATTTTAAATATTGTAGGTATAGCGTACCTATTTATTATCTATGAAGTCTCAAATATAATAAGTGTATAAGACTTTTTGGCGGGAACGCGAGGAGTGAAGTTGTGTGATTTGTTTTATTTTGTCTATTTAGTGTTTCTTCAGGTTTAAATGTGTAATAATGGTGGTTTATTAACTGTTTAATATCTGTGAAAGTGCACAAATGTGGGAAAATGAAACAAAGCTGCTGGACGTAACTTCTCGGTTCCTCCAAAAAGTCCACTGAAAAAATCTCAGTAAATGACCACCATTTTACTGCGATTATATTTCATCCCATATCATCTCATTTCATTAAATTTCATCCCAGTTGATTAATGTCTCAAATTAATCATCTTCATTTCATTTCACTCCATATTATCATTTTTCATAAAATTAAGAAAATAAAGTAAAATAAGACATGACTTAAAGGTCTTAGTTACCAGGTCATAAAATCTCTTAAAAAAAAAAAAATTATTGGTCAGGACTTTTTGGCGGGAACGCGAGGAGTGAAGTTGTGTGATTTGTTTTATTTTGTCTATTTAGTGTTTCTTCAGGTTTAAATGTGTAATAATGGTGGTTTATTAACTGTTTAATATCTGTGAAAGTGCACAAATGTGGGAAAATGAAACAAAGCTGCTGGACGTAACTTCTCGGGTTCCTCCAAAAAGTCCACTGAAAAAATCTCAGTAAATGACCACCATTTTACTGCGATTATATTTCATCCCATATCATCTCATTTCATTAAATTTCATCCCAGTTGATTAATGTCTCAAATTAATCATCTTCATTTCATTTCACTCCATATTATCATTTTTCATAAAATTAAGAAAATAAAGTAAAATAAGACATGACTTAAAGGTCTTAGTTACCAGGTCATAAAATCTCTTAAAAAAAAAAGTCTAACATATGGACTTTTGGCGGGAACGCGAGGAGTGAAGTTGTGTGATTTGTTTTATTTTGTCTATTTCGTGTTTCTTCAAGTTTAAATGTGTAATAACGGTGGTTTATTAACTGTTTAATATCTGTGAAAGTGCACAAATGTGGGAAAATGAAACAAAGCTGCTGGACGTAACTTCTTGGGTTCCTCCAAAAAGTCCACTGAAAAAATCTCAGTAAATGACCACCATTTTACTACGATTATATTTCATCCCATATCATCTCATTTCATTTAAGTTCATCCCAGTTGATTAATGTCTCAAATTAATCATCTTCATTTCATTTCACTCTATTTTATCATTTTTCATAAAAATAAGAATATAAATTAAAATAAGACATGACTTAAAGGTCTTAGCTACCAGGTCATAAAATCCATTACAAAAAATGTCTATCATAAAATATAATGACACCCATACTTCTGTGTGTTTATGTATATGGAACTTTTTGGCGGGAACGCGAGGAGTGAAGTTGTGTGATTTGTTTTATTTTGTCTATTTAGTGTTTCTTCAGGTTTAAATGTGTAATAATGGTGGTTTATTAACTGTTTAATATTTGTGAAAGTGCACAAATGTGGGAAAAAGAAACAAAGCCGCTGGGCGTAACTTCTCGGGATCCTCCAAAAAGTCCACTGAAAAAATCTTAGTAAATGACCACCATTTTACCTCAGTGCCTTAAGACAAAGGCGTACAACCAATGTGTGTTACCAGTGATGACTTACGGCTCGGAGACGTGGTGCTTCACTAGGGATCTTTTTAGAAGGCTCAAAGTCGCGCAGCGAGCTATGGAGAGGGCTATGCTCGGCATTTCTCTACGTAATCGANATCTTTTTAGAAGGCTCAAAGTCGCGCAGCGAGCTATGGAGAGGGCTATGCTCGGCATTTCTCTACGTAATCGAATCCGAAATGAGGAGATCCGTAGAAGAACGAAGGTTGCTGACATAGCCCGTAGAATTAGTGAACTGAAGTGGCAATGGGCCGGCCACATAGCACGAAGAGAGGACGGTCGATGGGGCAGAAAGATTCTGGAGTGGCGACCACGTACTGGCAAGCGCAGTGTGGGACGGCCACCTACTAGATGGACCGACGACCTAGTAAAAAGCGCTGGGTCTCGTTGGATGCAGGTGGCAATGAACCGGTCGCACTGGAAATCTATTGGAGAGGCCTATGTTCAGCAGTGGACGGCGATAGGCTGAAATGATGATGATGATGATTTTACTGAGATTATATTTCATCCCATATCATCTCATCTCATTTCATTTAATTTCATCCTAGTTGATTAATGTCTCAAATTAATCATCTTCATTTCATTTCACTCCATAATATCATTTTTTCATAAAAATATGAATATAAATTAAAATACAGAAATGACTTAAAGGTCTTAGTTACCAGATCATAAAATCCCTTAAAAAAAATCTGTGTGTCTAACGCATAATCTATACGAACCAAAACTGGTCTCTATTTGTTTTTTAGGCATTTATTACTAGAGTTTCAGAGAAGTTCAACTTGTTCTCTGAAATTGAAATTATTAAATTCTTATTAAAATGAGGCAATATGGTCCTAAGCATTTAATATGGATATTAATTATATCCGGCATTCTTATAAAAGCCGAAGACGGTAAGTACGAATTGCTGAAACTTTGTCGTTGAAAGTGTGTAGTTTGATTTGTAAATTCATGTTATAAGTATTTCAAAAGAGCTGTAGAAACTAAGATTTTATATTTTGGAAAAAAGTAAGTCAGTAATTTTTTTTAAATTAAAATAGAAATAAAAAGATGTGATTTAGTCTATTTAAACGTAGTTGATCTTGTTTATTAAATAATTGTAGCATGAATGATTGTGCTCAAAATAAAATACTACAATGAAATATAATTATAATTATTTAAATTGAATTGTAATAATAAGTATTGCATTATAATTTATAAATAATATGGTAAATAATGTGTAATATCGTTTCACGAATCTGTCCCACCCAAAACATTAAATTTGTCACTTTAAGTTTATGAAATTGTTGATTAATTTATGTGACAACATTAACATTTTACTATCTCTGAAAATGTAAAAATTTCCATTGCCACTGTAATAAATGAACAAAAGCATTTCTGTTTAAAACCATTTTTATGACATAGTTGAATATTTTTATAGTTGGAGATGAATGCACCCCAAATAACCAGATATCTGAAGGTATCTGTACTCTGGTGAATGATTGTCCTCAGGCTGTAATGTAAGTTGAGAAACATACAAGGGGGAATTTCTACTGTACTCAAAAAGAAAAGCTAAAGGTTGTGATCTCTAACACAACATTTGAAAAATCTAATCACAATACACACAATATAACACAATTAAAAAGCTACTGATATGTGAGATTTACAGTCTTTAGGGAGTGCTATGAGTGACTGCCAACTAGTGTGTTATATTGAGGGTAAATGTGAGTTTTTTCAGCTTTAAAAATTGTTTGAAATACACCATGTATAAATAAGTTTGCTATTTAAAAACTTAAATAGTATTCATGAATCCAATATTATCACCACTGGCTTTATACCCAGGCACAGTATTATACCACTGGCACGTTTGTCTGTTTGTTTTATGTCATTTTATCCATCTGCATATATGTCTCTTTATTTAAATAGAAGCACATAATCTCATTCTGTTAATTGCTACCAGAGCCGTTGGATACTAAAAATGTCAATACTGCTGCTTAACTATAGATGTAAGTTTGGCCTTATTTTCAAAGTTCATACTTTTGTAATAAAACAAGTTTGAGCCCACATAGCAGATATAAGCAGCATGGGAAACCTATTTGTGTTGGCTCACAATATGCCCTGATAACAATATACCATGTGCGATAGGAAAAATTTCATTTCAAATCTATTTGTTTCTTAACAGGGCAATAAAAAATAAAAGGTTTCAACCATTTCAAAGATGTGGATTCAGAGGATTTCAGGAGATAGTTTGTTGCCCTACAACTGTGGACAAATTTGGTGAGTTTGTTAGAAACATACTACTTTGTGTATCATCTTCATTTATTAAAATTCCAAGCATTAAATATTATTCATAGAATTACTAATGTCTAAAACTAATTTTTCAATAAACAAATTGTAAAAAGTATTGACAAATATTAAAACATGAGCATGGAAACAAGACTACAATATTAACTTACTTACAAGAAATCATGGAAAAAGGTTTCCTTTCTGCCATTTTTTTCTTGATAATATCAACATGAAATCACTACATACTATATATCAATGATATGTTATCACAGTACAGGTTACAGGATGGTCACCATCAGAGTTTCTCTCAAATTATAGCCCAAGAGAATTATTTAAAATTTGTGTCTGATACATTTTCTGGGGTTGTTTCTCAAATGGGTTGAGTGAGATTTATACATTCACTGCCCTACTGATGGTAGGACTTCTTGTGAGTTCACATGGGTAGGTACCACCAGCTTGCCTATTTCGGCTGTGAAGCAGTAAGGTGTTTCGGTTTAAAGGGTTGGGCAACCGTTGTAACTATACTGAGACCTTAGAACTCATATCTCAAGGTGAGCAGTTGCATTTACGTTGTAGAAGTCTATGGCCTCTTGTAACAACATAATACCAGATAGGCTGTGAGCGGAGTCGGAGAATAAGCCGTCATATATATATATATATATATAATTTTTTTTCTGTTGCTTAGATGGGTGGACGAGCTCACAGCCCACCCGGTGTTAAGTGGTTACTGGAGCAATTTATAATTTGGCGGGTTTCACTTTTTACACGATGTTATTCCTTCACCGTAGAAGTCAATCGTGAACATTTGTTGAGCACGTAATTAATTAGAAAAATTGGTACCCGCCTGGAATTCGAACACAGGTGCATCGCTCAACACGAATGCACCGGACGTCTTATCTCTTAGGCCACAACGACTTCAGATATCAGATTCAGATGTAGACAATTTATTACGAAAAATTTGAATATTTCCTTCTTAGGCTACTCATCAAATTCGGTTTGGCTTCTTTTACCTTAACACTCGCATGCCACTGGACTTCCATACATATATATCGACAGCTATTTTAAGGTATTACATAAACTTAAATAGAGATAAACTTACGAAACGTCAAACGTACGTTCGCGGTACTTCGTTGTTTTCACGTTCTTTATTAATATAATAATCGTGCGCGTTTTTATAGCAGGTTTCTTGATATTTGCTATTGACTTTTAAAGTACCTAATAATAACAGGTTTTTAAGGAAAATTGCTAACGAAATTCAATCATAACGTTATAATTTGTAATGTTGGTTTGTATTTGCAATGCCTCTCAGATTAATGTCTTCTATTTATAATAATGTAGTATGATATTTGATGTATAGGTTATATTTCTGCTGTAGGGTTTTTTTAATAACTTTTTCGCTCTAACTTTATTTTGCAGCATGTCATATTTAAAACGTTAATCGTTTGTTATTGTATTTTTTTTTCTGTACAATAATAAAAAATAAAACACTGACGGGCACTAAATAATAATAAACTGAATCAAAGTACAATACAACTTTGAAATAAATATTTTAACCAAGCATGCAAACTTTGCATACAAGTTTAAATTAAAAACTATAGATTTGTATTTGGTAGTAACGACAAAGGGAAGATCTTCCACCGGGCGGGTGAAGTTGTTCGGTAGACAGTCCAAATGTTATTGCTCGGAATAAATGTATAGGTATGCAAACTTATCTTGAAATTATCGTTAGCGAGATTCAGGCATCTTTCAAATATCTTGTGTAGCATCAATAGCCATTGGCTTTAAAACAGCGGATTTCGTTATTTTTGTTTACTGAAAACGATCATACATTATAAAACAAATAATGAAAAATGTTGCAAAAAATTGGTTTCATTGAAAAGCTGGTTTTAATAATAATAAAAAAGTTTAAGAACACTCTTTTCTTCTTCTTTTAATTCTATTACCTTCACGTACCCTGTTACTGATTCTAATCAGTTCTGAATAGTTCTGATTAAAGATATTAAACGATCTTGCGGTATATTGTTTTTGTTCTTGTGGAATTGCTATCCTTTTTTTTTCCTGCCTAAGCTGATGGTCTACAGAGACACTACCTGCGTAACCTTAACTAGTAGGTGAGCTCACGGGGCTCAAACTTGACATGTTGTGCTAAACGTACTCAGTGGGAAAAGGTCCGGGCTGCGTGCTAACCAATATATCTCATATCGTATACCGAACTATTCGAAATATCAAACTTATGTGCAGCCCATATTTATCGTACATTACGATGACATGAAATGTAAAGTAATATATGATCTTCTAAAATCTCTTAAATAGCTATTTGCCGTCAAAATACCGCTGTTACCGTTTTGTCGAACCATGAACACGACTCCTCTTCACTCGTTTATCGATTTGACATCCCAGACCATACACGGACCGGCTCTAAAAGGAACACGCTGCTCAGTGCAACTTCAATATCTCTCCTCACGTCACCGAAAGACTCTTCTGCGACCATCTGCACCACATCAACACGCTCTACGCTCATGGCTAAACAATCCAGAGGCCCATTGGTCTTTAGACCAATGTTGTTCACGCACAAATCTTAGGCGAGGTTTTATATTGGGTAGAGCCCCCTGATAGGCCCTTACTTAATCGTTCGTATTGTTCGTGGACTCACATTAACCCCACGCACTTCATTCAGCTTTGTTTTGATGATAACTGACCTAAGGAAACGATTTCCTAATCTGTCATCACGACTGGTAGTTGCTCCAGCTCTGCTGGTGCCACGTCTCCTATTGTATGAGCCTGTCTATAAACCTTTTGTTTTTGTACCCTCCAAAAACCGTAGACTAATTTAATTTTCTAGAAATCATTTGTTGATGATTGATCCAAGCCTGTCCTCACCAATCACACAATTTGTTCGGCATGTTCGAATGCAATATCCATATTATTGTACTGAAACTCTTGTTGAGTTGAAAAAAACCTAACTATTTGTAATAATAGTTCTTAAGCAAATGTAAAAAGTCTATAATAATCAATTTAAAACTTTACTCGAATAACACGAAAATCTTAGACCACTCGTAAAGTTTGTTTACCCAGCTATAATTATTTGTTTTGCGACAGTTCAATTTTTCTAAAAAAAAAAATTAATGGATAATGGCCAGTCATCACTTTTTCTTTTAAGTAAATCTGAAATTTTTGTAATGTAATAATATTTATTAAAAGTATTCATTTGAAACTAATCTTGAATGCAGTTTATGTGTCTGTTAGTTGATATTCTTAGTTAGAAAATATTGAAGTCTTATACAATGTTTTCGGGTCTAGTTATCTGTTGGCGTAATAATTACGTTAAAAGGGTTTGTTTAATGTTAATTTACCAATTTCTACATAGGTAGTACTAACATTAGACTTGTAAAAGGAGTAAGTAGATCATTCTAGAAACAAATGGAGGAATAAGCTATACGTCCAATGCAAAACGATACCTACCTTAATTACATTTCTTACTAGTTTTAATAGTTTACGAGTTGATCGACCGAGTTTAAACGATACGATCGATTTTATGTCTTTTAATAAGAACAATAACATGACGTGAAACGATTGAAAAACTAACCTTATGCTTTTAAATTATTCCATGTTTATGTTCCATGCTTAACCCAAATTTTTGTATTAACTTATGCTAATGAAATAGATGAAGTGTAATTAGTTTAACTTTACGGTAGACCTTGTTTTTACCAAACTATTATCTCAGTGACTTAGGCTTTATTTCAAATGTAACCGATCGACGTGCTGACTTTTACACCGTCTTGCTTATTTCATGATTGAAAACCACCATGGGTTTTGTTTTGTATGGTTGTATGATGTATAGCAGCTACTAACTTAGAAAAACTGACTTAAAAACTTGATACCTGATAGCCATCAGGGCTGATAGTGAACTCATCTATCCGTATAAAGAAATACCTAAAAGATTGAATAAAATAAGGCCAGTAAATTGCAAATTTCTATGATTGTAATATTTTTATTATAAGGTTGGGGAAAAAGTTTTTTCGCATTTAATAAGAAAATTCACAACATTTTTTAATATAGTTTATTAACATTTAACTAAAGTATGTAGGTACCATTTTGTTCGATAACTTTTTGCCATCTTGTAGGTAGGGACATGATCCGATTGCTACAGAAATTTTGGGGCCTCTGATCAAAATACCGCGACAATTGGTTTTGGCAGTCTTCTTGTGACGCTAACTTGACACTGCCTAAAGAATTCTGAAGAGACCGAAACAGGTGAAAATCTGAAGGTGCAAGGTCAGGACTATACGGCGGATGCAATAACATCTCCCAGCCAAGCTCTCTTAATTTTTGCTGAGTGGCTAAAGTTGTATGAGGTCTATTATCATGATGAAAAATCACACCCCTTCTGTTGATTAATTCCGGCCGCTTTCTCTCAACTCCTTGCTTTAATCTCATCAGTTGTTCGCAGTAGAGTTCAGAATCGATGGTCCTGCCTGGTGGTGACAGCTAATAATGAATAATGCCATTCCAATCCCACCACACACACAACATCACCTTGTTGCGAGTTAACCCGGGTTTCGCCACAGTCTGTGAAACCTGACCGGCCTTTGATCACGACCTTTTTCGTACGTTCTTGTCGTACGTGATCCACTTTTTACATGAGTACACGGTTCATTAGGTTTCGTTCAGTGAGCTCGTGAGGTACCCAAATATCGAGCTGTTTTGTGGTCAATTTCCAGTTCTTCAGCTACGTCGTAACTACCGAAATGCCGATCTTGCTCCACTTTTTCAAAAATGGCATCCATTTTATCCGTAATAGGGCGACCAGAGCGACGTACAACTTTGACATTAAAATTTCCTGATTAAAAACGCTTAAACTAAATTTGTGCTACGCTCACAGACACTGCACTAGGTCAAACATCGCAAATTTTTTTCGCGGATTGCACTGCATTTTATCTTTTTTGTAGTAAAATTTTAAAATGTATCCAATTTCTTCATTAGGTTCACTCATCTTGACAGTACGAAAAATAAATAAAAACCACACATTTTCCTAATTTGAATTTGGAATTATCTTCTTTAAAATTTATACTTTTAATAATACCAAAACCAGCCAGATACAAATAGTATACCCAAAGAGATTTTATTACAAGTTCATACATACTATAATGCGAAAAGACTTTTTCCCCAACCTATTATTATGTAGCAAGTATTATATTGTGTACATTTTGTTGTTTTATATGTATGTGTATTAAATTGGTTTAATTTATTTATATGGATTTACTTGTTTGTACACATATAAATATTTTGTAATCATGTTAGTATTTTTATATGATCCTCGATTAATCCAACCTCCAATTTCCTGAAACATCTCCATCCAAAGGGACTGGAAGAGATTTCAGGCTCGCCAATAGTACAAGTAGTTTTAAGTTTTTTTTATCATTTACTTTTTTGTAGATTGTTGTTAATTTGGCGCACTTAAGTGCAATAAAAAGTTTTTTTTTATATTCTTGTATTGTACATCTGCCTTTGTTTTTAAAGTATTATTATATTTTTGAAGTATTTCCTTAAGCGCGGTATATTTTATCTCGTTCAAACGTTGAAAGCCAGAGCTATAAAAATAAATCCACACTGTTTTCACACATCAGTACAAACAAGTTTAAGCTCATTTAAACATAAATTTTAAAATAAAGTTCCGAAATACAATTATTCGTCAAAATAGTACTATAGTTTTTTTCTGTATTCTACTGCTATATTCTAGAAACATCTTTAACGTGCGCTCTGTTTTTAGGTCAAACAGAGAAAACAAGAACTATTAAACGAATTGCTGAACGAGGTACGTAGCAAAACCTTTAACCAAGCTACTTTACTACGAATCACCTTGAGTAATCTATACTAATACTAGCTGTACCCGTCCGCTTCGCTGGCCATTTAAAATGAACATTATTATTTCTTACCCCACAAAGATTCTCATCATTAACGCCCCCGCGATTGGTGTAGAGAGTCTAACACTCATATAAATATTAGCCTATCCATTAAGTACATGTATTTTCTACATGGATACCAAGTTTCAAGTCAATCGTCATCCGTAAAACCCACTAGATTTATATATTAGTATACTCGTAGATATAAATCGAGAGTGGTTTTTACGGATGTTTCGTTATAACTACTGAACCATACACCTGATTGACTTGAAACTTGGTATCCATGTAGAAAATACATGTACTTAATGGATATGCTAATATTTATATGAGTGTTGGACTCCCTAATTATAATGACAATAAATAATAATGTTAATTTTAAATGCCCAGCGAAGCGGGCGATTGCGGCTAGTCATAATATAAAAATGGTTTTATGTATGTGTAAATTGGACTTTAATGAGGTTGGTTTTTTTCCTTCAGAATGTGACAAAATCATATCTTCAACTGTACCTCCGCTCGACCTGTATATACTTGGCGGGGAAGCTGCATCGATGGGAGAATTTCCTTACATGGTAATTGCCAACTATCATACTAGTTTTCCTCATTACTATACACATAAATATATCAAGGAAAATTAATTATAATTTCTGCATATCACGTACGTTACATTTTAAAGATGATACCTTTAATAATAACAAATATTTCACACAACTTGCAGTGTAAAACAATGTTCTCTAAAATTAGAATAAATTATAATAAAATATACAACGTGGGTGACGTGTAATGGTTGGGCGTCATATTTATTTTTAGGATTATTCATAAAAAGAGGAGATTCAACTTAAATAATAATTTGAAAGCTTTTGTAACAAATATGTATGTATTGGTGAAATATTAAAAACAAATGCCATTTTAATACAATTTGCAAAAATGCTGAAGTGAAAGCTTCCTTTTTTAGCTCGAGTGAAGCTATATTTGAATACTGTAAAGGAACTTCGGTTTTCAAATACAAAGTAGTAATCCACTAAGTGATTCCCAAAGTCGAACGGTAGATACGCGTCAAAGAAATGTACATAAAAATGGATACATCAATTAAAAATGGGAATCTACGGGCGTTTTACTAAGCAGTAATCTTCGTTGGTTTTCACTTAAGCTTAACTAATGGACCACGATAGAAAATGTCTCCGAGAAATGCGTAATACTTATTAAGTTCTTGATTACATTTAACAGAAATTGAGTTCTAGATAAAAAGTACAAAAATAATGCTCGGCGTGCAAAAAAATTTGAGAAGCTATGGATTAGGCTATTAAACTCCGAATAACATATAATAGGAGGCAGGTATGATGGTAAACGCCTTAAAAAGGAATAAGCTGAATAACTAGTTTCAGTCTAACACAAGTATATTTGCGTAATTATTGGTGCTAAGGATGTCTTGTAAGTCCGTACCAGTAGAAACCACTTCGTCTAGTTGAGTTTCTCGCCGGATCTTCTCAGAAGATCAGAATTGTTAGTTCTCCCTTGGAGGTGCTCGGGTAGCTGTTAGCAAATCCCACACCTCCTGGCTGAGTCCTTTCTCGCCCACCTGTCCTTGTGAAACTGGAAAGGCCTCCAGGCCACAAGCAATCCCTCAACCATAAAAAAAATACTCCGTCTGCCGCGAAGCAGTAATGTGTTCTGGTTTGAAGGGTGGGGCAGCGATTGTACAGTTGGCAAAATAAATACAGAACTCATGATTATAAAAGAATTTTTACCAAATTAATATTTAAATAGTCGATAAAGATTTACCTGTCGATCAGTCATTTGAAATGTAATTCATATTCAGTCTATATCTTATAAGTAGGTATATTATATAAATCGGTTCTGTATGTATTCGCCAATTTCAGAATATGTAAAATTTCTATCCATAAAAAGCGGCATTGGGTGTTTCATTTGTCTGTGATATTTGTAAGTATTTGCTTATCCGAGTAACATGAAACTTGGTATAGTTGTTGGCAATTCGAGAAAGATTGATAATTACGAGCCAGTGGATTCAAGAAATTGATGTATTTAAGGCGTTTAGTCATAGCGCGACCGGTTTTCATCAGTTATGTTTCTAATAATCCTTAGGTTGCTGTTGGCTTCGACCGTGGTAATGGTTACGAATTCGATTGCGGAGGTTCGTTGCTATCCAACCTGTATGTACTGACAGCTGCGCACTGCGTCGACACATTGGATCGGTATTTTTATATTTCATAATAATATACTGCTTAGTATGTGAATTTCTTAGTTCGCCATGATGGACCAAATCTGAAACTATTAGGAACTGTGAAAAAGTCCATCTCCGCATTTATATATTGATAATATGTTTTGTATTCGAGTTTTTAAATCCTGTTGAAATTGATTTACAAATAAGTGGCGATCTTGCTAGGGCCCTGGCATCTGGCATTGCTGATGTCCATGAGTAACGGTAACCACCCACCATTAGGCGGACAAAAAAATTAAGACGAGNCAAGTGTAGTGTTCGCTCACGCGGCCCGCACTCACTTAAAATCATTCCAAATTATTCAATCCCGTTTTTGCAGGATAGCCGTCGGAGCCCCGTGGTTCGTCAGGAACGTCGACCTCCATGACGACCTGGACTTAGAGTCCATCAGTAAGTATCTACAGTCGGCGTCGATGCGCCACTTCGATAAAGCGGCACGACACGAAAACCCTCTCATCGTGGCCGCCGGTAACTACATTCCCGATCCTGCGGACAGAATGGAAAGCAGTCGACGTCGCCCAAAACACGTCATCTCGGATCCCCCCGATCCACTAACGGTGCTTCTAGGTACTTCAAGCACCGGTCACCGTTCTCGTCGAACCCGTCGTTTGCGACGAAGGGCTCGACGAGTAAATTAACTCTCAGACACAGCCCACTGAGTTTCTCGCCGGATCTTCTCAGGGTCGCGTTTCCGATCCGGTGGTAGATTCTGCGAAGCACGGCTCTTGCTAGGGTTCGTGTTAGCAATGTCATCAGGTTTGAGCCCCGTGAGCTCACCTACAAAAGTTAGGGTTACGCTGAAATAGCCTCTCAAGGCTCTCAGCTTAGGTAGGAACAAAAAAAAAAAAAGTTAAAAACAATATTAATACTTTTTTCTGCTTATAATATATTCTATTCACCATATTCTACATATTAATCTTATATACATTTAAGATGTAAATGCGTGTTGAATTGAATTAATTTTACATCAAATAAATATTTAGAGTAATTACGTATAAAAAAACACATATTATATAGTTAGGTACATAAGCAATAACTGTGTGTGTAAACTGATAAAAAAGAAAAGTTGATTTCTAAGGGTTTCAGGTTCATTTTGTAATTAAAATCATGACAAATAGGTACTCTTTGTGACTTATGTATCAATAATCTGTGATACAAAACAAATAATATCGGTAAAATTAAAACATAATGTCGATAAATCTCAACGACAACTCAATCCGCTCCGTAATTTTATCGAATTCATTGAAACATTACCACATGTGGTTATAATACGCATTCGATAATATTTATCCGGAAATAATTTCTTTATATTTCATGACAGTAAAAGACGCGAGATTAAACAATAAAAATAGTTTTAATTATTTCTACAACTCATGAAAACTGAAAATACTATATTTGTAATACTAAACAATATTGTTTAAATAATAAAAGTATTCACTATCTAATGTTTAACTTAAATATCTTCGGAATATAATATGACTATTATCCTAGTGCCTAGCTTTTGTTTTCTCTTCGACTTTTCGCCGTTTCTTGTTAATATTATAATATATTTTGTACTACCAAAACTATAAGTGCTTATAAAATAGTGTGATGGACTTTTTTTTATAATTTTTGGCTCCGGCACGGTCCGTGCACCAGCCGGCGTCAAGTAATAATATTTTTATAATTTACCGTTTTAATAATTTATTTAATTTATTCACAGTTTATGAATAATAAAAATCGAAGGAAACGTAATCAATCGGCATGAAATTAAATGAAAATAATGAAATGATATGGGATGAAATATAATCTCAGTAAAATTGTGGTCATTTACTAAGATTTTTTCAGTGGACTTTTTCCAAGATCCCGAGAAGTTACGTTCAGCGGCTTTGTTTCATTTTGCTATATTCGTGCACTTACCATATTTAAAACTGAAGAAACACTAAATAGACAAAATAAAACAAATCACACAGCTTCACTACTCGCGTTCCTGTCAAAAAGTCCCACTTATTTATTTCTGAGTGCAAATTTCCCGATAGTGTGGTAGTAAATAACAAACTACATACATACATTTTCACCAAACGAAATTTTCATCTGAGCATAACAGCCACAAAAATCATTTTGCCGAATATCTTCATTTCATAAACCTAACAATAGGATAATTGAAATTGAATTTATTGCTTGTCAAATTTTCGCACTTGTTACTCGGCATTGTGGTGGTAGCATTCGTGGTAATTGCAGGGACACATGGTATTATGGCGAAAGGGGTGACGGCAGTACAATAGGTGACAGAAAAAATTATGCTCAGTCTTGTAATGAGGCATTCAAAGGGTTGTTTTTATGTTTTCTACGTAAAACTCGATTACAATTTATTTTATTACGTTACTCAAACAAACTGCGAACAACAAACAGTATTGGAATCGATTTCGAATACTGACGAAATCGGCTGTGGGCGATATAAAACTCTAGACATTATACTTCTATAGAAGAAAAATATATCAGTTCTAAGGTCTCAAGTATAGTTACAACGGCTGCCCCACCGTTCAAACCGAAGCGCACCACTGCTTCACGGCAGTCATAGGTAGGGCGGTGGTGTCTACCCGTGCGGACTCACAAGAGGTCCTACCACCGGTAAGAGAAGGAAATAGTATTATTATTGTTGTAGTATTGTTGTACAAATAGTACCAATAGTACAAATAGCGGCCCGCATTGAATCTCCTGCTTAATAACTGAACAGTCTAGTCTCGGGTTAGATCCTCTAATACAAAATGATGGAGTCACAAGATGTGAGATGGTTAATGCAGTTTTTTGAAATCACAACGTCAATACCTACTTTAATAAAGCTACTAATACTAAAACCTAATAAATAATAAGCCTCCTTTGAGACGTGAGGTTAGAGTAATAATTTTAATAACGGGTTTGCTTTAAACATCATAATAATAACTAGGTGTTCGCCCAATGATCGAAATTCGGCCACAATTCGGCAGTATACTCAATATTTATTTTTATGTATTAGATGCATCTATTTCTTTGTGATGGCCTTTTGTAAAGTTAGAAAAATATTGTTTTAAATATTTAAAAGTACACACACTATTTTGAATATTTTTTATTGATGGCACTACAACTCGTCAATAGTCAAACAAAAATTAGATTAGCGTTTTTAGTAAATCATGATTTTCTGACCCATTCGGAATAAAGTTGCATCACTGTGAAGAATCGGCAAGAAACACATGGCTTGACACAAAAATATTCTCAACAGATCCGTGTTACAAACTAGTTAAAATTTTCAGAGGCGTCACGTTTATGCATAAAAAATAAGTTCAAAATATCACTATTTAAAAGAGGGCTCGTGCCGTCCTCCAAAAATGAGACCGTTTATTTCAGTAATTTACATAAACGTCACCTAAACTTTCCATAACCACTCCAATGGAAGTGCTAAAAGCAGTTTCCCCATAGTGTCTGGAGTGACGAAACTTTGTTAAAAGTGGTAAGCCGTGTTGAGACCGCGCTATTCCCAGGGACAGGGCGCTTATCCATCAATATATCTTTGCATATGGGGAACGCAAGTTTATGGGTATAAGCTTTTCTAGGTTAACATTTTAACCCAGTAGTTCGGTGTCTTTCGAAGACAAACTATAAAACTTTTGCGTTCAGTAAGTTGAGACTTCAACATTGACTAATTTCAAAAAAAATGAGTTTAGTAAACTTTTTAATTATTGGAAATGGATAATTGAATTTGCGACCGATCTGAAGTTAGATGGTTACCGGCTCTCCTAGATGGAACAACTTAAATATCGTCACCCATTTTAGGATACAAGATTAAATGTCAGATTCACAATATATATACACTTCCATGCCGAATAAAATTATTAAAATTATTTAAATTTACTTTTAAAGAAAATAGGGATATTACCTATATCCACGAGCGGCACATGGAAACTAATGATAGGTGTCATACTTCTCTTTCGTTTATTGAATAATTAATGTTATTGAGCTGGCGCTATTGGGAAGTCGTAGTGGCAGTGTGGTCAATACAATGACGACCGCGCAGTGTGGGTAATATCCCATAAGGTACATTCAATCTACCTACCTAATCTAGATTCAATCTACCTTATGGGATCGTTACGATCCAGAGAAGTTCAGGGATCCACTGTACACAGGTTGTGAAAGATTGGTCGTTGAATCTTGAGGTAAATCTCTGACTTGCTAATGCACCTGATGGTTAGATTTTAAAAAACTTAGCGTTAATTCTCTTTCTGAGGAAACCACGAAAGAAGAGCTTCCATGTTATAAAACGCGGGCTTGCACTTTGTTTGGAACTTGGAAATATGCTAACTTATCTTGAAAATGTTGTTGTTGTGATTCAGGTTTTGTTCTGATATAGAAAAGTTGCCGCCACGCCCTTCTCTCTAGGACCGGAGATCATGCTATTTAACTAACCATATCTGTGCTGATAGTAGCTTGTTCGGGATTCAGTGCTACTTAAAGCCTTCGAAGTGTCGAAACCGAGTTTGATTGCTGCGTCACTGTTGTGGGTATTCCGTGAAGAGTCGGCATGCGGAAAACTTGGGATTGTGAGAGATGGTACAATTCTGGGCGGCGGTAGACTATAGCAGTATGATGTAGTAGAAAGGATGCGTGATGCAGGAATAGGGAGCGCGATTTGTCGGCTGCGACGTTTTAGGTCTGCGATGTTAGCTTGCTAACGGACAACTGTTGTTGATGACTTGGGTCGAACTGTGAAAGTGGATGTTGATAACATATTTAAAGTGAAGTATAAGTGAAGTTTATAGGATATGGTTTTGTGTCAGAAAGATCATTCAGCCAGCGTATCTGTGCTCGGCACACCGACGCGACGGTCCGCTTTTAAGGAAATTATGCAGGCGTCATCCAGTTTTTTGCCAAATATCCTCCATTCTGTGAGAGTTGCACTTTCAATAAAAAACCCATCGTTAACGCCTTTATTCAATACCTACATAAATATTTTTAAATATAGTACAGGTATAAGTGAGAAATGCTTAGCCTGTGAAAACAAATACAATGCGCACTACAAATTGGACGCTTTTAGAAAAATAGTCGAATTAAAGACTATCTTGAAAACATGCACGAAGGACTGTGGTAAAAATCCATTTACTGTTTCGTTTCAATCAATCAAAT